AAGCAAGGGTCGATGACAATTGACCAATATTTCGCCAAGTTCAATGAATTGGTGAAATATGCTAACTATGGGAGAGCCTTACCCATTCCGGCCGAGATGATCTCTAAATTTCAATGGGGTCTAAATGAGAAGATGTCTCGAAAGATGTCAAATTGTGACATCCGAGAGTTTAGTAGATTCGTGAACCAATGCCGGAAGGTGGAAGAAGTTTATGGTGTGCCGAAAAGTAAGAAGTCTTCCGAGGCACAAGCATCTGGTGCTAGTGGAGCAATTGGCTCTACTTCAGAAAAGGGTAAGAAGATGGATGACAGGAATATTAAAGAAAGATTACAAGCTAAACAATCTGAGGAAAAGTTTAAGAGAAGCGGGAGTCAACAGAGTTGGGACAATGAAAGACCTCTTGTGCCCCAGTGTGACAACTGTGGGAGGCATCACAAGGGCGTTTGTTTGATGGGTCAAAACGTATGTTTCAAGTGTGCTAGACCTGGTCACTATGCGAGGGATTGTCCCCAAATCGTGGGACGAGTTGCTCATGTGCAAGTGGTCTCTGGTCTTCCAGCAGCGGCACATGTTAGCACTTCGACCCAACCCCAGCTAGAGAGGTTCCCATACTTGACGGGAGGTATGACGCATGTAGATTAATATGACATGCATAGTTTATTGAGGTTGGAGCCACACGTGCTTAGACTGTGGACTCAATTATGATTGTGTGACTCGTTATGTCTAGTAATTAAAGACTAGACTATGTATTGATTGCTAAAAGATGGTAAATTGTATGCAATGACCTTTCCATGGATGTAGTGGTATTACCTCCATGAGGATAGTATCCTATGAGATAGAGAATTCTCATGAAAGGTCTATATTGAGGGGAACTTCCCTTGGAGTTAGCCTTCGGGACCTCCTTGTGGTCAGATACCTAAGAGAAACAGCCCATAGCGGATCTCTCTTGGAAGTTCCATCAGATGAGATTTTATGTATGAGGTTATTAGTAGGACCGCAGAAGGTAGTGAATAGGTATGACCCTGGAGGAAAACGAAAGATAAAAGTGCTTGAACATATTAGTATCACCTAATTATAAAACATAGATTGAATCATGAATGAAACATTTCATCTTATGATAAGATGATGAGGAAAAGAGGAACTGATTAATAGGGTAACTTCGGGAACACAAGAAGAGTTATCCGATAAATCCATAGATGATTGAATGAGTGGTTTTGTCGATTTTGAGGACAAAATCGTTAAAAAGGTGGGGTGAATATAATATCCCAAACTTAAGCATTTAATTGATTAATTTTAATTAAATAATTAAGCATGTTTTAGTGAGTAAAATTAAGTAAAAGACTTAATTAACAGAAAGGAGGAGAAGAGAAGAGAGGGAGAAGAGAGGAAGAAGGAGGGAAAACCTAGTGGGAGCAAATCCCAACCGTTTTGGGTGATTCAAAAGCCTAAACTACTCTAAATCTTCCCCTCTTTCATAATCCTAGCTTGGTTTTGAGTGGGAGTCCTTGTGGAGAGAGATATTGGTCCCCAAAGATTCGCCCCTTTTGAGAAGTGTGGGGTTTTTGGAGTTTCTACCTCCATGGAAGCTTGAGGAACACTCATTCCTCTATTGTGTGATCATTGGTGGTAAGTTTCCACTCTCTTTCACATGATTCTTGGAGATTTGCATGAGTTTAGGGTTAATGAATAGTGTTTTAGGGTTTTTATGAAATGTTGAGTAGATTGGCTATGTTCAAGGAAGAATGTGGCTTAGAGTATGTTGTGAAAAATGCTAGGAATGACATTTAATCGGTAGAAATGAGTTTATAGTGTTATTTTAGTATGCTTTGATGTTTGGAGAAATCTAGGCTTGGAACTATGGATTTCCTTGCATTGTTAGCATTGTTTGATTGTATTCCTTGTGTTGATAGGATTGAGGCAAGAGGACCAAGTGGAGTGACCAACCCTTGGGGTTGTGTGCAATTGAGGAAAGCTCAAAGAGCAAGGTAAACCTTTGGACCTTGTGGTTGATCCCATTGAGTGTTCCACCATACTCCGTTGAGGAGAAATGGTTTATGAGATGTGATATGTAATTATGATAGTGATTGTATGCTCATGCATTGATTCATGCATTGATACATGTTATGATTGATTGATGATTATTGGTTGATGTTTGATTGTTTAAGAGTAATTGAGGAATGATTATAGAAGTAGCAATAATGAATGAGGTAATGGTTGAGGATTGTGATTGAGGTTATGAGTGATAGTATTATGATGAGGATGATTGGTAGGAACTTCCCTTGGAAACAGCCCTATGTGGATCTCCATGTGGTTAGAGCCTAAGAGGAACAGCCCTATGTGGATCCCTCTTGGAGGTTCCTAGATTGAGGAAAGGACTTCCCTTGGAAACAGCCCTAGGTGGATCTCCATGTGGTAAGAGCCTAAGAGAAACAGCCCTTTGAGGATCTCTCTTTGAATAGATTGAGGAAAGGACTTCCCTTGGAAACAGCCCCATGTGGATCTCCATGTGGTAAGAGCCTAAGAGAAACAGCCCTTAGTGGATCTCTCTTGGAAGTCCATGTGATGCTTGCTGATAAGAATGTGTTAAGCTATTATGATTATGTGTACATCAAAGTGAACCTTAGGGTGGAGTGATCTCCAAGGACCTCTGGTTTACTGTGATATATTCGTATATCTCACCCCGTGTTGTGGGGCATCATTTCAGGTACTGATAGAGGTGAGGTTGATCGAGGCAAGAAGCATGAGTAGACTGTACCTGATAGCTGGACATGTTGAGTTGCATGCCATTTAGCATTGCTATATGTATATTTTGATGTCATATGATGTATTTTGGAGGACTTAGTGCATGATCATTGTAGTAGTAATGGGTATCTGATACATGGTTACTTGCTTTGATCATGTTCATTTTGTAGCTAAGTCCTTTGGCATGTATATGAGATTTGTAATTAAGACATGATGTAATATTGTAAGTAATGAAGATATTTGTGTATGATGATTACTGTAAGTTAAATGCATGAATGTATTTTTATGTATTGGATATGTTGAGCTGGAAAGTCAATTAGGTACCTTGTGCTAAGTTGGGAAACGTTGAGAAAACAAAGGTTATGCTGCCCAATTTCCGTTAAATCAATGATGAGAGGATGAGAGTTAAGCAATGATATAGGGATATCACAAGCTTGTTAAATAGGTTGTAAAATGTGTAGGATTGATTCCCCAAGAAAGATACATGAAAAATATGAGTATAGGAAATTGCCCAGAAGAGGGGGCTTAAGCCTGCAAATGGAGGCTTAAGCCTGCTCAGGGGGCTTAAGCGCCCAGGAGGGGGCTTAAGCGCCCTGATGCACCTGTGAAGACCAAAAGCTTTCTGCCGCCTGGGGCTTTAGCGCCCAAAATGGGGGCTTAAGCGCCCAGGTAGCGCGCTTAAGCGCCCTGGAGCGAGCTTAAGCGCCCTTGGTGGCTAAAAATGTAAATTCCCTCTGTCTGTGGGCGCTTAAGCTCCCTGGAGCGCGCTTAAGCGCCCTGCCCGCGTAGTTTTTCAGCATACACCTAAGTTAGTAAAATTGTCATAACTTGAGCTACAGGGCTCCAAATGAGGAGCGGTTTGAAACCACGAGTAGCTAACGAAGAGATCTACAACATAGTAGAAGTTGGGAAATAAATAAGAAGTAAATTAATGGTTTAAAAATGGAATAAGAACATGATGTTAAGCTTGGTTTATCTGATTCCGCAAAGTAATATGGTTATGATCACACAATTGGATATTTTAAATTCGGCGTCGTTTTAAAAAGAAAAATTTATCCGGATTTTTAATTGAGCCAATGTGATTGTAACTGCGCTTAATATCATAATGCGATGTTAACAAACCGGTTCTAGAACGGGGTGTTACAATAAATCGTTAATTGTTACATATATAGCATATACTTAGAGGTGGCAAAGTGGGTGGTCTGCTCCGTCCCGCCTCATCCCGCCATCAACCCGTCAAAAAATGAGTCAGCCCGCTACACCCCGTCCCGTTTGGCGGGTTAGCCCGCCAGCCCGAGCTTATTTTACACTGACTCGCCTCGGCCCGTTTACGTCCGTCATTAACCTGCCAAAAAATGAGTCTGGCCCGCTTTTGAGATGGGTTGAAAAACTCAGCTCGTCCCACTCCATTTGGCGGGTTGGGCAGGTTGGCCCGCCGAGCCAATCCCATTTTGCCGACTCTATGTGTACTTGCAACCAAAGTACACCTAATTGTGTATCCTCAAAATAGTCATGCAAGTACAGGATGTAGCTTAGTCATGGTCAAAATGTTGTGTAAAACATTAATTTTTGTTAAGAGACTTCAACTTGGTCATGACCACAAGGTACTTTTCCAATAAATTTGATTACGTAAATGTCATTAAGCTGACTATTGTATCTTATGCAATAATGTAGTAAAACTTAGCTTTTGCTTTTTCTGTTTGATGTTCAGCTATATCATTGTCTCGGAACATCCACAAAAAGAACCACAAGGAAAATGGAAAGGTAACTTCGAACTCTTTTTTTTCTTTCTTTACTTTAGCATTTTATCCTCCTAAAATAGAAAATGTTGTAACAAAGAACACCCTCCAAAAAATGCGTAGGAGCTAATAAAAGTAAGAAAACATTGATACAAATATAGATAGATATCACCGAGTAACATATATCTCTCAAGATTCGATGCCAATAATGAATATGGTAACTTAGCAGTTAATTAATACTATCCTTGACAAGAAGAAATCTAATAGTATAATTAGTCTTAAGTAGAGGGTGCCACCCTGACACCACTTCCTGTATTTTCACTACATCATCCAAAAAGTAAACATTATTCCAAATACTACTTAATAAACTTAGAGCAATAAACTGAATGCTAATAATGCAAAGTATAGGAGCTTCAAGGCATGAGATTTGGATCAAGCTCCTTGCAGCTCATTTAACAGAGGCAAAATTATTCCAAAATCTACTTTGCTGAATGCTGATCTCTAAGATAGAAGCATCAAGGCATGAAATATGAGCCAAATTCCTTGCAGCTCATTGAACTGAAGCCATGTGTCGGATCAAGTCAACCACACGTGAGCTGCAGTGAAAAGAAACATCATTGAAAGTGAAATTAGGGATGAAAAGTGCACAAGAAATCAAAAACCATTTATAGTGAGAACTTGATGGCACTGCATAGAGTACTAACTTCAAAGACTGATTTGTATGTGTGTAACCTTTATCTTTTGGGACAAGATTAAATAATGTATAAACTGACTCAAATACATACATGCATTATTCATGTTCATTTTATTTACTTCAAAGAAAGGCCTAAATGTGACACCAAATAACAAATGTTGAAGATGATCCTATGATTATGGTGTTTTTTTTGTCAACAAGAAATTAAATTCAATCACCTAAAATATTTTAAAGGATAGCTCACAAATTTAACAGAAAAACTAACCATTTGTAAAAAGATAAAAGAAAAGGCATAGAAATTTGTTTTACCTGTAGCCCCATTCATTGTCATACCAAGAGACAAGTTTCACAAAATTGTTATTCAAAGAAATTCCAGCCTTTGCATCAAATATGCTTGACCTGCCAGAGCATGTAGTGGATCACATGGTAAGCTTCATCTCACTAATTCACTTGCAAAATTTTAAAAGTAACAAAATCTAGCAATAAGGGAATAAGTACAAAACAAGAGTAACATAATCTAGCAAAGGTACCAAAAGACCAAGGCACATCTAATTGTTAATCCTAATTCCTTAGTTCCTCTTGCTAAAGCTAAAACCAAATAATTTACACAATGCATGATGATGGCATGCTAATTTATTAACTATGAGTATCATCATCACCTGCAGTCACCAACAAAATCGGTAGACACAACATCATCCTCTGTGTAACCAAGGATTCCTTTCAAACTTCCCTCAGATGCTTCCCTATGAAAAATTTGTGAACAAGTGAAGATGAGGACTTTATCATAGGAACTACATTTGGAAAAATAATAAAAGAGAATACCCTTATCCCCTTAAAGAAAAAAGCTTATTATTACTTGATAGCAGCTTTAATTTCATCATAACTGGCTCCCTTCTCAATTCTAACAGTGAGGTCAACCACTGAAACATCTACAGTGGGAACTCGGAAGGACATTCCTGTCAACTTATTATTCAGTGCTGGCAGCACCTTACCAACAGCCTGTAAAGTTATGAATATAATGGCCACACAGTTGTTTGTCAGAAAGAACTCGTGTGAGTACTCTAAATATGTATTGAAAGATAGTAAAAATTGGAAAAATGGAACATAATTTAGTAAAGATAACAAATACAAAATTCAGCAACTCTAGGAAAAGTTATCATTGGCTTAATTGACATTACTAATTTTCAAAGTTACTAACATGCTTTGCAAAAGTTGAATAGTTTTTCCAAAAACATTACTATTTCTCAATTTAAAAAAATAAAAATTGATAGAAGGGTTTGTTAAGCATTGGAATCATTACCGAGGGAGAGGGGAGTGCCAGAACATCTGGGACTAGAAAAGAAAGCACATCACTGGTTGATCAGATATAACGACTTGCATTCACATGTTGCAGGTTTACTATCACTTAAAGGGTAACTCGAACTTGAAATCACATGAACAAAGGAAGGGAAAGGGATGTTGTTATGAATCAACTTTCCCAAAACTTAAACATGCCCCTTCAAGCATGAGCTCTTTGGGCTTGAAAAAACTCTAGACCACTTAGTTATATAGACTCTGATAATGTCATGAACCAATTATTCCAAAAACTCAAGCTATTAGATGAAGACACGTGAATGAATGGATGATGATGATGCAGTTGAATTGTGTAAAGCTAAGGACCTAGATTTTTTTTTTTTTTGGCTACTTAGGTGACCCTATAGTTAGCCTGTGTGGTATATAACACTGGACAAAGAAGGATTAAGCTCAACTTTTTGAGGTACTAAAATAAGGTACACACAATATATTGGAAAATATGCATGTCAAATTAGTATGCAAATAACAAAAAAAAAAATTAGCAGATTAAACATATTTTTTGTGGCTATGTAAAATTATATATACAAGTCAGATAGATACCTTAGCAGCTCCAGTACTACTGGGAATGATATTCACGGAAGCAGCTCTACCACCTCTCCAGTCCTTCATTGATGGTCCATCAACAGTCTTTTGGGTGGCTGCGTAACATAGAAAGACAAGTCAATTAAATAATGAATTTTGTGCAATGAAGAGTAATGCATAACGTTACATACTTACCAGTAATAGAGTGAACAGTACTCATGAGACCTTCAACAATACCAAATTTGTCATTTATAACCTGAATATATTTCAACAAGATCACTTAATTGAGTTTTGTTTTTCCCAAAATAACAAGAATTTTTCTTTCCAACTTGAAGCAACTACAAGACAAACTACCTTTGCAAGTGGAGCAAGACAGTTGGTTGTGCAGCTAGCATTTGAAACAATGTTAATATCTGACTTGTATTCTTTCTCATTGACACCAACAACAAACATTGGGGCATCCTTGCTAGGGGCAGAAATAATGACCTTCTTTGCACCACCCTAATATCATAGGACATAAACCACAAAATTAAGAGAAAAGACCAAACATGAGATCAAACAGGGTTTTAACTTTGAAAACACTAAAAATCAAAATCCCTCCAAAAGGTTTCTAAAACATTGGTTAGTAAATATTCTTGAACATGGCTCTTGAAACAAATAGCATTCCTCTCTCCTTGGTCCATTAAACTGGTATAATTAATGCTTGCAGAACCCCATAAAAACATACAATGGAAAATATAGAAAAGTATTTGCAGGATGAACATTTTCCACACTAATTTTAATGTCCTGAGATTATGAAACCATGTTAGATTGAAAACAAAGTTTGCCAAGATACTTAAAAATCACTCCCCATTAAACTCTGATTAGCGAGGGTGGGTAAGTATAATTCTTGTACGCAATCTTATCCTTATATAATTACAAAGAGGTTATTTCCTGAATTTTGTGACCTTTCAATCACAAAGGAACAATTATAGATGGTGGCAATGACAAATATAATTGATTCACAGCACCATGTGATTTGAATCCTTAATGACAAACCTTCAAGTGGGCAGCTGCCTTATCTTTATCAGTGAAAACTCCAGTGGACTCAACAACATAATCAGCTCCAGCCTCACCCCATGGAATCTCCTCAGGGTTCCTAATAAAATAAGGAAACAATTTAACCCTGAGAACTTGGTTCATAGTGTAAGTCATATTGTATCCACATCCAAATTACTTAACATAGTATTAGAATATACCTGATACCGAAAACAGTGACTGGTTTACTACCAAAGAGAAGGGTTTTGTTGTCCTTAAGTGTAATTTCATGGTGTTTATATTGCCCATGAACAGTATCATACTTGAACATGTAAGTCTGCAGGAAAAAATTTCCAAATTATTAAAGGACTGAACTCAGTAACATGTGACTTCAGGGATGAACACAGAGTGTATATACAGAACAAATTTGAAACAAATGATAGTTGATCTTTCTTCATTGCTATTTGCAAACCCAACAAAATACTAGAGTTTTGCTTACCATGTAATCAGTTGTAATGAAAGGATCATTAACAGCAACAAGCTCAACATCATCTCTCTGCAATGCCACCCTTGCCACCAAACGGCCAATCCTTCCAAATCCTTCATCATCAAGAGCAAGCACATATATACACACACATTATTTATCATCTACCAAGCAAAAAAAACAAAAACACCAACAAAAGTTTTTAGGAGTGGATCCTCTCACGTGTTATCTCACATGATCAAATCAACAGTAATTAACATCACCATCAACAACACTTTTATTTCAAATTAATTGGGGTCGGTGTTAGATGAACCCAAATAAAAAATATAAAGAGATAAAAATAAAAATAAATGAAATAATATATATATTTATATATATTAGAGGGCGAACAGTAATAGTGGTAAAGTTGTTTTTTTCGTGACTGCAAAGTCATGGTTCGAATCTAGGAAACAATCTCTTTGTAATTATGCAAGGGTAAGGCTGCTTTCAAAGATTGCCTCCACCCCACATTAGCTAATCGGGTTTAACTGAAAATGGTTTGATTTGATATATATATATATATATATATATATATATATATAGGGGAAAGTACTTCTTATGTGACTGCAGAAGGAAAAACTTGCAGCAACACAGAATACGCGCGTCTGAATCCTGTTTTTTTTTTTTTATAGAATCCGCACGTGTATCCTAGTGTTAAAAATTTGCTGAGAAGCGACGGACCCATATATATATATATATATATATATATATATTAAAAAAAAATTGAAAACCTTTTACATAACCTGATAATGTGAAATCACACATGAAAGGATCAATTTTCGAAGATATTCACTTTAACACTAATCAAATAAGTTGATAAGTTCAAACAAAGTTGAGACAGAGACAAAAATATAAAATAAAATGAAAATGGCATTATTGGAGTACCATTGATACCAATCTTGATCTTCTGACCCATGAGTCTCTTTCACTCTTGTTTACCTGATACGAAGAAAAAGAAGGTAACAAAAACAAATGCACACAAAGGGCAATGAGTGTGAGTAAAGAAGATCAAGGACAAGTGACAATGAGCTTATATATATATAATGGACGTTGAGGGAACATGTGTTAGGGGAAATAGTCTAAGGTTGTGTGGTGTGTTGTGGCATGTATCCGTTGATTTCGAAAGAAAGGTTCAAGCACTCACATCATCAAACCATAACTGTCCCGATATAACCGGCTTTTCTGTAGAATCGGTAAAAACCTATATACATCCAATTATGCATGGTGTTTCTTAAAATATTATAAGGGTTTTATTAATCTCTTTTTATATAAGATAGGTATCTTATGTTGTAAAGAGAAACTAGGTGGGTCCCACCATTACAAAAAAAAAGAAAAAAGAAAAAAAGTGACGTGCGAAAATCTAAGTGAGAGAAAATGAGATAAGCTACCTCATGTAAAAGGAGACTAATATTTCCCATATTATAAAGCTTAAAATTCAAAAAAAATAAAAAATTAGAGGTTAAACTTTATAGAAAAAAAAAAGGCACCCCAATTAAAAAATGGGATTATTGTTTCTCATATTATATAAGATAATTTTATTTCCTACATACACATAAAAATGTGGAGCCATGTGAATAGATGACAGAAAAAAAGAAAATATGGATAGAAGATAAAATTATTTTTTATAATATAAGAAACATTAATCCTCTAAAAAAAATATAATAACACTTGTACGGTTTGTACAAAAAAAAAAATATACTAAAACCTTAATGTATTTCAAACCCGGGATATAAATCTTGTGTTCCTGCATTTCTTTTTCTCGTTGGGTGCCATTTGACTGCTTAAGTAATATAAGTATGAGACAAAAATGAATAAACGAAAACAATACATAATAAAAAGATAAAAAAGAAACTAATAAGAATTAACCTTTATCCATTCATTATTTTATTTAGGGAAAACTTCATTTTCACCCATTGTGGTTTTGTGATTTATCATTTGACCCCGTGGTTTTAAACTTATCAGTTAGACTCACTGTGCTAAATTAATTTATCATTTAACCCCCTATGGTTTCAAATTTTTACTTAGCCCTTGTGATTACAAAAAATTTCACTTAAATCCCTTGTGATTTAGAAAATAAACATTTTAAAAACATATTTAAAATAAATTTTCTCTCTTTTTTATTTTATATCCTTATGTAATGCATTTAGGGTTTGAAAAATATTTTGAGTTATTTATTCTGAAATTAATTTATAAATTATCTTAATTTTTTATTTTAAAAATATATTTGAAATTAAAAAGATTATTTAAGATGAAATTAAAAAAATATTATTTATGATAAATTAAATATGTACTATCAAAATAAGATATTTACTTTCTTTAAATAGATAAAATAAAAATATTTGATTTGAATTTATTTTCTTGATAAAAATAAGTTAATTTTTTTAGAATTTATTTTTATTTTTTAAACCTTAAATGCATTAGGTGAGGATATAAAATAAAAAAGAGGGAAAATTTATTTTCCTCTTATTTATTTTTTAAATTTTTTATTTTTAAACCACAAAGGGTCTAAGTGAAAATATTTTTAACGACAAGGAATCTAAGTGAAAATATGAAATCACGAGGGGTTAAATGATAAATTATTTAAGCACAATGGGTCTAAGTGATAAGTTTAAAATCACAGGGGGTCAAATGATAAATCACAAAATCTCAATGGGTGAAAATGAAGTTTACCCTTTTATTTATTGCATGGAAAACAATACATAATAATTTTATATTGTGTTATATGAGGTGGAGAAGGTTATAGTTACTACCTCTTTTTCTTATTACTTGTAATTACTAAATCGTAACCGTTGATTTCAATTAATCTAACGGTTATAATTTATTAGAAATTAATAATTAATTAATAAGTATGACCTAATAAATTATAACCGTTAGATTGACGAAAATCAACGGTTACGATTTAGTAATGACAAGAAAATCAACCGTTAGATTGACGAAAATATAAAGAGGTAGTAATTATAACTTCTCCTATATGGGGTAGGATAATCTTACTATCAAATTTTTCTACTACCAATCAACTACCACTCTAATATAACCATGTACTCCAAAGAGTATATTAATTTTTTTTTTCTCTTTTCAGAAATTTTTCAAAGAATGTCGGCTGAAAAGTAGGATTCAACGGTAATTAAAGTGATAGTAAATTGGTAGTAAAAATATTCTAATAATAAGAACATCCTATATATTGTATATAAACAGTGGCGGACCCAGGAAAAAAAGTTTATGTCCGCACATTAAGTGGCGGGGGCTGCCCCCAAAATTTTTTTTATATAACTTTCACATGGAGGAGTTGACTTATCAATGTAGGAAAAATATATAGTATAAATAGCAATTCTAAGCAGATAGAAATATAAATTAGTAAAAAATGATGTATAAATTAAGGGAAAAGTATGTGTCATTTTACAGGATATAAAATTGTATCATTTTAAGTGAGAGAAAGAGATAGATCATGAGGGAGAGAGTGGACAAAAAAAAGTGTGGCTTCCACCTTTTTGTGAGAGTGAAATGACACAAATTGTGTCATTTAAAAGGACAAACATTTTTTCCATAAATTAAATGTTACTAGTGAAGCAAGTATGACAGTGAAGCTATGTCCAATTATTGTTGAATTGAGCGATTGAAGTGTGCAAACTCAGAAAATCAAGTCATCCTATCTCTTAAGTTACTACATGAAAAACAATATTATGCCATAAAAATTAGTGACATTTAATCTCAACACAAAAAGTATTTAACATCTAAATTGCAAAATTAACATTGACTAATATAAATATTGAACAAGAGACACATAAGGACATATAACAAAAAAAAAAAAAAACTAAAATCTAAATTTCATGTCCGCAAGTGCGGACATGTGCCCCTATGTGGGTCCGCCGTTGTATATAAATATCATAAAAAATTTAATCGTGGATATAAAAGAACTAAAATATAAAAATTGATATATTTGTATTTGTACAGAAACAGAGGCTCTGATTGATTTTTGTTCTCCAGAACAATTTTTAAATTTTAAAAACAATAAAACAAAAAATCGTGTTTGGAAAGAGTGTTTTCATGCTATTTGTTTTAAAAATAGTGTCTGCTTTTTTGTTTTAAAAACTGAAAAAGCAAAACAATAGCAGGATGTTTTCCGAAGCTGTTTTCTGATTTTCTTGTTTTTGCGGTGGCATTTCTGTAAATATGGGGATTCATTAATGGCATTTTCGTAATTAAATCGATTTTAATTTTAATTTTAAATTATTTTGCGGTGACAATCTTGTAAATATGAGAATTCATTAATGACATTTTTGTAAATAACTACAACTTCTTTATAACTTTAAAACTAACTATATTCAAACAAGTTTTATTGTTTTTTCACTCTTAAAATCAGTTTTCAAAATCTATTCTCAAAACAGTTTTTAAAAACAAAAACACATTCAAACACACCCAGAGTTACTTTTTCACCCTTCTAATGTCGTTTCGTACCATTTAAGGCTCGTTGCTTCCCGTAGCCAAGCAGCAACCAATGACTACGAGCGAAGAGGGGAGAGTGTTCAGGGTGAACACCGATATCTAATATAAGGTTAGTAGAATGGGTGTATCTGTGAACGATTAATACTCTTAGTGATGTATTAGATTGGGATTTCAAATGATTTTAATGGATTAATTTTGGAATAAAAAATCCATTGGTATTCAATTAGAATTTTAATGGATTGAAAAAAAGTCACATTCGATTAGAATTTTAAAAGATTATTTTAGAGTCCCTCCAAATCCGTTGTATTCAATCAAGATTTTAAATAATGAAAAAATAATCTTCTGATATTCAAAAATCTAACTATTTTAATGGATTTTCTATTGGTGTGAATTCCGTGGGACTTTTTAGTAAAAAATATAAATATGATATCTCTCACAATCTTACCATCTATGATGCACGGACACGGGACACGACACGACACACTAACACGTTAATTCTAAAAAATATCATATTTCAACACGTTGGGATACGTTTTGATATTAAATAAAATTTTTAATATATATAATATAATTTATATTTAATACATATAAGAGTCCATAATAAGTCATATAATCAATCAAATATTTAAGTTTCATAACATAAATATAAATATAAATAATTTTTCGTACTTTGTTAATTTTTCATGTAAAATTTTAATAACAGAAAAAAATTAATTTATAAATTATTTCTTTTATATTTAGTTAACAAAATAAAATTAAGATTTAAAAAAAAAAGTGTCCGAGCGTTGACCACGTGATAGAAAAAGTTGACTGCGTGTCGGAAAAACATGTCGGAATGTGTTGGAGAGTTGACCGCGTGTCCCAAAATGTTGACCGCGTGTCGGAACGTGTCGATGTCCGACACGCACAAATTTAAAAAATGTTTGTGTCCGTGCTTTGGAGTTTACCATAACCCCTAGAATTTCTTGAGATTTCTCTATTGCAATGTTTTCTGCTTCCTTTGGTAGGTTGACCCGCTCGAGATCGGGTTTCTCCATGGGAGCTTCGTCAAAACTCAAAAATAGCATATTTTTGAGCGATTTTATCACAAAACAACCCAGAAATAACAAACAAACGAGATTTTAATATAATATATCTCAAAAATAACATATTTTTGAGCCATTTTTAAGAAATTTTGAAAGTTTAAAAAGTGAATTTTCAAGCTATGGTTCGCAATTTTTCTTGGCACAAAAGGTGTGATTTTTTATTAAAAACAACATAAAACAGTGAGAAAATAATTGGGGAACTAAAACCCCCAAACCAATTTTCGTTTTACATCAATGAAACAATGTCACTTTAAAAAAAGATTGAAACTTTCATAATATAACCCTATATTTCGTAACAATACATTCATGAACGAAATTCCTTCACTATAGGAAATAATTTCAAATAATGTTGTGTCAATAGATAACTAAAAACTTATTTTTCAAAATCCTCAAAGCAATTTAAGGTTTCAATGTATATTGAAAAAAATTTGAGAAATTTTCTAAACTTTCATATAATAGAACCCAAAAATTTAGATTTGAAATTTTCTTATAATATTCAATGAAAATATGCATATGATATATGGTAAGAAAACTCTTATCACGTAGAACAAAAACTCCAAGGTTTTCAAGATCAATTGCAAAAAATTCCAAACGAAATTTTATCATGAACTTTAGGTTCTATATGAAAATTTAGAATAATTTTAATAATTAAAAAAGTTGAGTCTTATAATTATATATGCATAGCTTTGATACCAAATGAAAAAGATAATTTTCAACCCATTGGTCAAATCCAAGAGCAGGAACGAGAAAATGCTAATGCATGGAGGACTAGTATAACTTTAGATATGTGAAAAACTATTGTTTAGTAATTTTAAATGTTTGTCAAAAATTATATTATGTTTTGAGAAAAATATTTCTGCAGTTACTGCAGATAAGTTATCTGCATTTATTTCCTAAACAACGTTATTTTGGTATTGAAAAATTAAAAAATTATAATTATAAAGACTATAATAACCCTGAAATAAATTAAAATTACAAAAACACCATGATTTCCGTCCCAAAATATCGTCATATTGGACTTACTGCAGAAAAAATGAACCTTGTTATTTTTTTATGGGGAAGGTTATACTTACAACCTATTTTTGTTTACAATCATATCTTAACCGTTGATTTCCGTTAATCAACGGTTATTATTTTCACAAAACAAACTCATTAATTAATATTTAATTCGCAATGAATGATAACCATTGTTTGAAGGAAATCAACGGTTAAAATATGGTTGTAAAATGTTGTAAACCAAAATAGGTTGTAACTTGTAAGTATAACCTTCCCTTTTTTATTGACTCTTGTAATTTTGAATGTTTGTTAAAAATTCATATTATTTTTTAAAATATTATAAATCCATATTGTCCTTTCAAATCTTATAAATTCTATTAAAATCCTTTAAAATTCAACCTTATCAAATTTTGATTGTAAAAAAAGCCTTTTAAAAAGGTCTTTTAAAGTCACTCCAATTCTAAATAGTCTTTTAAAATCTATAAGATTTTTATCTCAAAAAAAGTCTTTTAAAATTCTAATCCAATACACCCCCTTAGAGTGTAAGCTATGAAGCACTGACACTTCAAAAATCTCGACATGTTGTGTTCGACACTTTCTGATACTCTTCGACACTCTGACACTCCCCGACACTTAGAAACTCAAAAAAAGGTTCAAAGGTTGTGTTGCGTTACGTTTTTAGTTCTAACTATTAAATTCGTTGAATTACTATTATCATTTTATTAAATTTAATATAAATATTGTGATATCTTATGTTTCTTTGCAAAACTAAGTTTAGTTTTATTTTTTTGTTAAATTATTGAATATTAAATATAATATACACAACATATATTAAAAACATTATTCAATATCAAAACGTGTCCTAATGTGTCGAAATCTAATATTTTTTAGAATTAACCTGTCGGAGTGTCATGTTGTATCATGTTCTATGTCTCATGTCAGTATCGGTGCTACATAAACTATAAGTATGTATGATGAAGTTAATGGTCTGATAGTAATGTTGTTAGGCTGTGTGTACGAAGTGTATCCCTTTAGGAACACTGTTTCTCAATTTATACTGGCATTGGAGAGCAGTTATCTTGGTGGTAGAGGTCTGCAGTTTTCCCAGGCATAAACGTGGGTATCAGAGAGTGAGAGAATCTGGAGTGTGAATATGTGTTTGATCCTCTTCAATATTATTTTTAGAAGGTTTAAAGTCTTAATAGTAGGGCTCATCCCTAATAGAACTAGTCACGAAGCGATGAACTAATTGAAATATCTTAAAAAAGAAGAAGAGTAAAGCCTCTTTTGAGTCCTAACAAAAAATACGGTCCTCACTTTAGTCTCTTATAAAAAATATTAGTAGCTGATTTCTATAAAATTCAAAGTGGATTCATTTTAGTCCTTTTGAGGAACTAATGTAGGTCTTTTTTGAATTTGTGAGGGACCACGATTCAAACTAAATGGATCCACTTTGAATTTCTTAAAACCTCGGAACTAATTTTTTTTTTAAGAGACTAAAGTAGAAATCGTATTTTTTATTAAGGATCCAAAAAAGACTTTACTTTAAAAAAAAGTGAAAAAAATTTTTATGGTTATGAATTCACGATCCGGGTTTATGGGCTAAGGCCCAAGTCAGATATATTTTGCAGGAGTGTGAAGACCAAAGTTAGCCCCCAGGGGGACTAAGCCCAAGGAATTGCCTGGGTATAATATCATCGGAACACACAATATTACTGAATATTATTAATCACGTGGATTAAATCAGTTTAATTAGTTATTATGAAATTAAATTTAGTTTATATGGTGTGTTCAAAATTTAATAGGGATAATTTTGTTATCTTATAATTCTATCTGACTGAATCAAATTAATTGATTAATAGATAAATTTGGGGAAGAAATTAAAACAAAAATTGGTTGATATAGGTGAGATAACGCCCTTTATAGAATTATTACTTTATAAAATAAACTATGTGGCATTTTGATTGAGATGGAAAATTCAACCCTTGCTTGCTCTGCTACCACGTCACCACGTGTATTCTTAAAATTACAGCAAAGCATTGATAAGGACAACATGATAAGCCCATAAATTCTAAAGAGACACACTGAATAAGTAAAAGCCAACATTAGCAAGTTTTTGATTGGACATTTGGTTAAAAGTTTTTCAAAAAGCTCATCAACCCCAATAAAACATTCCCTCTCTTTAATTTACTTTTGATTTTTTTTAATGAAATCACTTGTGTGCTAAGTAAGCGGTGGATCAGATTATTTTATATCTATATAAATTACGGATTTGATATTTCATATTGTTAGAGGGGTTTTAGTTTGTCCTTTAACATTATCAGAAAAAATTTTCTACACATATAATATTTTGTGAGGCTCACACTTTTTTAAAGCAAAAAAAAAAATTATAGCACGCAAAACGATTATAACATTACACAATTATTTTTTCTACAACATAACTCTTATAAAATCCATTGTTACAAGATAAAATTATTTACTATACATATAAAAAGTGTACGAAGTTCATATAAAAAAATAAAATAATTGTATCTTCATAATATAAAAAATATTAAACTCATAAATTATATTTCAATTTTTACCATTAATTTTATGGAAAAAAATATATAATGTTGCCTGAAAATAGTATCCAATTTCTACATACACAAAAACACATATGGGTCTCACTTTTTTAATTTTCTATCATCATTTTTTTTCTCTTCTCTCTATGTTTATCTCTTCGGGGAGGGACGAAAATTTTCTATAACATGAGACTTTCAATTCCCTAATTTTATATATATATTTAATAGCTTTGGTTTATTATTAAATATATAATTAACTTATACTATTTTTTTTTTAAAAAGTCTTATAATGTAGATTATATCAGTATAAGATAATTTTTCCTATCTCTTTATATGTAATATATATCATGCAATACGCTTAATGTCATGTTTGGAATCTTTAAAATTTTAAAATGAAATAATTCATTTTAATTATAAATATTTTTTTGTGCGAAATTTGTTTGAAATTACGATAATATAAAACATTGATTTATTTACATTATTTTATATGTAACATCTCATGATTTCCCTTACTTTAATTATTTTTTGCCGATTATAAAGTTAAAAAGTGTAGCATGGCACATTAATACTGAGAAAGAACAACGTTCCAAACCTGTTCATTATTACATCATGTTTTTTCAATCAACAATGCCAATTGCACCCATTTTCATTACACTATTTTTAGATTTTTTTATAAGTTTTATAATAGGGAAAAACTAATCTTCAGCTACATGATATTGTTTATTTTCCAATCGATTCTTGAGCTTGGTTTTCTTTTATTTTTTTTATTTTATAACTATGTAGGTCCCACCACATGATTGTAAGAGTGGTAGGAGATATCTTGTGTCCTGTTGATGGAGATTAATAAAGCCCTTTATAATAAAAGAACATAAACACGAATTTCAATACACTCTTTATATTATATTACAAGAAACATTTCTCTTTTTACAAGTAACATAACTTTCCCCAACCATAGTTCCTGTCTAGTCCACGAACACATGGTTACAGGAGAGTCAACAGAGAAGCCACCTGTGAAAATACGCCCAGAAAATCTGACAGATTTATCAATCTGATCATACTCCCCTGGATTAGAGTGGCTCCCATTCCCTCATAGTGCTTCCAATATTGAGACCAAACAAGCCAAACTGGTTTGGCTTGGGTATGAAGATGGTTTCAACCAAGATGAAGAGCATTTTCCCATCTCTTTGCTTCATGAGAGGTTCTCTATCAGGATTCAACCTCCACATGGTTCCCCTCCCCAGAATCCATGAGGAATTAGAGTGGGCAATTACCTCAAGATTTGTGATAATGGCCGAGGCAATCCATAGAAGACTATGGCATATTTATAATGACCCTAGGACCGAAACACAAAGATCAACAAGAAGATAATGATTAAACAATTGTCTGTAATTGGAGACACAAACATTGTGCCCAACAAAGCAAACTAAGCGAGCATCGGCATTAACTTTTTGGTTTTAATATTATTAAAGAAACACCATATATCCTCATCCTAGATCATCACTAAATGGTATCTTATGGGCAATTGTTTTTTTAATCTAAAATATGAATCTTATCGAAGCGTGCCTCGTACAATAGAATAGTACACTAAAATTAAAATTTATATTTTTTAATGAGTATAGCACATCATAATACACAGGAAAAATGGAACAGGGGTTTCCAAATGTGGGGTGCATGAGGTGAAGGCATCTCACTGGCTTAACTAATTCCCTTCTCAAACTACTCTATCTTACAGAAAGAACTGACGCGTGGAGGGAACATGGAACAGGTCAACAACAAGAACGGCAGGACCTTATCAAGCATCAATACAAATCAACCAATATATCACAAATCCCCAAGTAAAATGGTAGCAGAAGAGCGACCTGAAGCTAATTTCAAAGATGGGGAAAAGATTTTCTCACTGAACATCCTAATCTGTGTTATCCTACTCAATATGAGAATTCATGACCTCGAAGTGAAATATATTTCTTGACCCAGATGGCAATATCCTCAGCACAAACCTGGGCCTGAGGGCTTTTGAGAAGTACGTCAAGTGTTGCAAATTCATGGACTGCATCCTTATACTCAAGAACAGGTGCATCAACATTCACCTTCCTAAGCTCCTCTGAGTAAGCAATAGCACGATCCCTCATCCAGTCGTGTTCTGCCACCACTGTCAATGTTGGAGGCATGAGTTTTAAAGGAGGACCCCGGCCTGAGACTAGGGGATTGGCAGCTGGATGGTCCAGGCTAAATTCTTCCTCAGGTAGGAATAGTTTCCATGCTAGCATACACATACCCTTGTCATAAAAGTAAGAGTTTGCCAATTTTATTTCAGAGCGAGTGGGCACACTTCCAATAAAAAATGGATACATCAGGATCTGTGCCACCACCTTGACAGGGTCCAGAAGCTTGCCTGCTTCTAAAGTTTTTCGAGCCACGAAGTCTGCAATATTTGCACCACAACTCACGCCTAGAAGAACACACCTAATTCAATATCAAAGAAAAAGAAAAGGTTAAGCACCGAATTTGTGCAGTACATAACTCCACGAAGACTAGCTTCCAACAGGAACCATGACTAGAAATAATTAAGGTAACAAATACACAGCAGCTTATCTACAAAAATGTTACCCTTATGATATGACTCCAAAATGGTTAGTAGAGACCACTCTAAATGAGAAAATGGCAGAAGCTTCATGTGAAGCATTGTATTATTAGACTTCATAATAGGCCCATGTAGCCTGCTGACTAGCATCACCCAGGACTCAGACAAATTTCTGTACTTTTCAATTAAGTCTTTAAAGACAAAACTCAAAACTCACAGAAGCGCCAAAGGAATGGCAGCGGATGCTATTAAACTACAGAGGAAAGCACAGCAAAAAATAAAAAACAAAAAGCTAGCAAATAGAAGGAAATGAAAAATTGAAAATTAAAAATAATCTGAAATATGATACTGACATAGTAAGCAAATCATCAGACCAAAAGCAAGAATGGTTGAGTCACAGGAGAAAAGGATTCACATAAACTATTGTTTAAGCACCTTAGGTCCACTAGTCCTTTTCCTTTATCATCAAAACCCTCTAATTTCCCATCAGTTAGTGCAGGATGACCTGTGCCTGCCATTAAGTAACATCTACCAGAAGAATATCCTGCATGCCATCATCACTTTACCCCCTCCCCTCTCTTTCAATGCCTTTTGTGTTTTTCAGCACATCTGTAATGTTAAGTTATAAGAACTAGGCTAAAGACACATTCTAAAGTGAAAGAACTCATATAATCAGACATAATCTCTTTAGATAAGATGAAAAATCAAACTTACTCCCATAAACAGTTGCAAAGACATCAATCAATTTCCAGTTTGGCAGAAAGGCTGAGGCCTAAAAGTAAAGCTTAGCTATAGAACTAACAAGATGAGATTGAAAATGTGTTCTTCAACTGAGGAAAGAGTGGCAAAAAAACCTATAGGCAAGTAAGAAATTTCTTTTCAATAAAACCTAAATAATTTAATAAACAGGAAGGGAGAAAGGCCAGACATCGTTGTGAATTTTGAGAAACACAATGATTAGAACACCATATTTTCTACACAAAAATAACAAAATTTCAACACGTAACAGAATACTCTCACTAGTTTCTATAACAACTGAGAATCCCAAACCAAAAATATATGAACCAGATCTAGATGTTTGGAACAGGAAGATGATGTGATTTTATTAAGGAACACTCTAGGGGGAAACTAGTTAATCAGTAAAGAGAGGCTGAGTATATATTTTTGCTACAAATCTTAAAAATGTCACTAATCAAATATGTAAAACAATGTGCAAGAATAACCCTTTAGATAGAGTCCTAGTAGTTTACTAGACCACTCTAATTCAGTCACTAGTTCATTTCAATCAATATTAAATTGAAAATCTCAACTCAAACTTGCTGACATCAACCTCAAAAACTCTACTAATACCAGGTCAGTCACCTCCTCCTAAACTCCGGGATCCCTTGACCAATTTGATACCTTAATTTACACTCTCTAATCACTCTCTATATTTAAAATAGCCAATGAATGCTTGCACATTGCACACAAAAAAGCAAAAAAAATACAGCATTCAGTTCAGTCACAACTAGCATGATCATATCATCTAAATTCAAATTAAAAATGCCACAACACTAAGTGTTGTGCCAAGCTACAAACAGCAAGATCAGGAAACAAATAAAACAAAATTGGCAAAGGGATAACAAAAATGTGCAATTTGCAACAACCTTGATAGATTTCCATGAGCAGCCAACCATGGTTCAACCATTGAAGCTCCAAAGGAATCAACAATATGCCTATTATTACCATCCAATTTCTTGATCCCCATGGATTTGCTACACTCCGCCAAATTCGCCTGTTTCGCCAACCAATTCATCACCTTAAACCCGTCCTCGAACGCCGCCGGGTACCGATTCTCCGGCGCAAGCCGGTACCCAACGGCAACTACAACTACGTCGCATAGCTTCGCGATCCGCCGGCAGAAGAAGTCATTGGCGACAGAGTCGTTGCTCCCGCTCACCCAACCTCCGCCGTGAAACTGCATCATTACCGGTAGTTTTCTCCGGCGATTATCCATCGCAGGCGAGTAGCCTCCGTACACGCCGCCGGCCATCAAATTCAAACCCTCCACATCACCGACGCTGTTCCTCCTCGTTTCTTCCCTCGTTGGCGCACCCGAAGGGTCATAGCTGTTGCGACGCAAAGCGTGCGACGACACCGTTTCATGCTGCGCGGATCCAGGTTCGGGTTTCCGATTCGTGGTGCTAGGTTTGGGGGGGTGAGGTTTGGAACCAGGTTCGGTTGGGGTGAGTGCGGATTCGGGAAGAAAAATTCGTATAGAGAGGGAAGTGAAGGGGTCGATATGGATATCCTTGGTGGCGACTCCGTCGGAGAAAGAAGGGTTCGCGGCGGCGACGGATTCGTCGGGTCGAGATGTGACGCCAAACGGGTTGGATTCTTCGGGCGGGGCTTGGATCCGGTTCTGCAAACGGTGCTTCAAGAGAAACTTGAAGAACACACTATAGAGCTTAACGGCCACGGTTGGCATTCTCTCTCTCTCTCGAAAATTTCCGAGTATGCAGAAACCTGAAACTCTTAATTGTGATTATGATAATTTCATAGCTTAATTACGATCAAATTGGGATTATGCTGTTTGAAATTGGAAAATGACACAAGATTAGGGTTTTTTTTGTAACCCTAAATGGTTTTATTTTGAAGGCTTCTATTTCAATGGCGTTGGTGAGGTGAAATCGTGAAAGAGAGAAGAAGAAGACACACACGCATATTGCACAGTGAGAGAGAGAGAAAGAAAGAGAGAGAGGCTTTGGTTTTTGTTTTATTTATTATTAATTTTTGAAAAACTATTATGTGGATTTTTATTTTTTTAATAATATTTGGAATTTTCTGATTTCCTAAAATCATTTTCTGTTGAGTTTTGGATTTTATTTTTTGTTAACATTTTCTGCATGTGTGTTGGGAATCTAGGAGCTGTGCCACGTGGAAAGTGTGGTGGCGTCAGAGGGTGTTTTTGTTTTTGTATTATACAATTTTGTGTTGAGATTGTAGTGGCCTAGTGGGAGAATGGAGAGCGTGAAAACTATAAAGAAAAAATATTCAACAATTTCGAGGAGGATTTTCAAAAAGTGTTGGCGGGACTTTTCGGAAAGTGTGGAAAAATTAATATAGGAAGTTATAGGATTATTATCGTAGATTTATTTATGAGTTGGATATTTCTTTTATATATATATATATATATATATATATATATAAATAAAAGTGTATATAATTAATGTGAAATGAGATCTATAAAGAGAAGAGAAAAAAAAAATCATATATTTCTATATGTGTATATAGAATAAAAATTATCTCGTACAAAATGAAAGACGTTAAACTTTTTATTTATTGATAGTTAATATTCTCTCACATAAGATAATAAGGTTAAATAAATCATGAGATGATCATTTAAAAAAAAAAAAAGATTTTAATTTTCGTGGATATATACTGTAAGTGTGTGTAATTTATTTCATAAGTTTGATTAACAAAGAGAAAAAAAAAACAGCATATTTTAGATAAAAATCAGTTGAATAAAAGTGATGATAGATATGTGTTGTCAGTGAGAAAAAGTTTATACAATATATCCCATACGAATTTAGAAGTTTTGAATTCTAAATAATCAATTGTTGTTGATGATAATGAATTATTTGTTGTCAAATAATTAACTGTTTTAATCAATAATGGATTTTATCAGTTGATTATTTGTTTAAATAATCAAAAATTGTGGAATTCCAAAATATTATAGAAGGTTAAATAATTGATTATTACTATTGATAATCGAATATTACTGCAGCTTTAAGTTAAAAATATGTATCTAAAATAAAATAGAGAAGGGTTATACTTACTACCTCCTAAGTTTACTACTTTTACTACTAATTATCACCATTAGATTAACTTTTAATCTAATGGCTCATATTTACCCTTTATAATCCTAATTTTTCCCTCAATCTCTCACCTCTTTTCTCTCTCTAGGTCACGCTCTCATCTCTTTCACAAAATTTCCCTTCTTCATCGTTCTTTCTCATCATAACAGAAGACCCCAAAGCGTTCCCTCCATCGTTCCCTTCTTCATGAACGTGAAACCAAACGTCATCGCTCTCCATGATTACAGCGAATGATGAGATTTGGGGCTGAATACATAAAGGCATGTTTCTTCATCTTTTTCGTACAATTTGGGTTGAACCACATATATCTGTTGTTGTTAATTAAATATCAAGAAATGGATTTGATTTTTCACGACATTGTGTTATCAAGCATCCAGAAAGCTTGATACTGAAGAGGTCGTGTTCTAAGGTTTAGTATGTGTAGCTCTGTTCGAAAATTGAGATTTATGTTTTAGTACTTTACATACTTTAGTTACTTACAAAATCATGGAAAATTGAACAACTAAATGTATATGTTTATTGGTCTAGCTTGTCAGTTTCATGCATTACTATTTAAATTATTGCTAATAATCATTTGCATATGGTTAACCTGTGTGCAGGCCTTGTGTGCCTTGTTGTCAGTTTTGGATGATTAAAGGAAACATGAGGCTCTTCTTGTTGAATCTTTGGAGAGGCGACAAACATCTCTATGTAGATCTATATCCAGGATTAAGGTTAATACTACTGGAACGGGAAATATGTCACATTCTGATCAACCTGGGCAGGATTAGAGTTTCTTGAGTGCTTGGAGAAGCTGAGAGTATATAAGAAATTGTCTACTCATGTTTATAGATTATGTTGGCATTTGATTTGCATGTATATAAGAAATTGTTTACTCATGAGTAACTTTTAATGCAAGAGGATTTTTTTTCCCAAGTTGGATTGTATTTGATTTATGTATACCCGTCTTTTTTGAATTAACCATGTTGGCATGACTAACCATCAACATTAAGCAATATTGCGCTAAAAATTAGAAATTTAAATTTGAGATAAAAGCAAAAAATCGGTAACTTCAAGTAGTGGAATGATTTCATTATAAGGCCTAATGTTGGATGAAATATTAAAAAGAGTGGGAACATATTTGATAAAGAAAGATTCTAGTTTTGCAATCATATTGCTATCAAAGTCACAAATGGACCGCACCTAATTACCTCAAAGGTTATCTAACTTCAAACTGCAAAATTTTCCTTTGCAAGAATGTCATATTCTTTTGAAAAAAAAAAGGTATGGTAAGTTATATAATTTTGAGTGAACAAACTGGGTTTTATTTTTTGTAGGGGAAAAGAAGAAAAAAATCAAAGAAAATAATACCCTTTCCTTCAAAACACACATAAACACAGAGAGACATAATCTTGAGATTTATTTGACTGGAATGCAACCTGATGTAGCTTTGGCAAATACGACTCTTTCACACTCAGATCCAAAAATAAATAAAAGTTAAACAACATAATCTAGAACTAAAACTTCCTTTAATGACAATTATCTCTCTTCTTATCTAAAATCAAATCAATATAACTATTCTTTTTTAACAGTTTCCGCATCATGCTTGGTTGTGTCCGCATTTTGTGGCTGTTGTGCCCCTGCCATTTGAGAAGCTTCCAACTCCTCATATTTGGAAACTACATGTTGCAGCTAAGCAATAAGATATGAAGTCTCAAAAAGTGTCACTTCATCTTTGCGGTGCTTTCCACAATCCCCTTGATGACATAAATTGATTGCTGGCACTTAGCCAACAAGCTCAAAGTTAAATCTTCCTGCAAACATACACGAATAGTGTAAATTCTACATGAAAAAAATTATACTATTACATAGCTATATAGATATTATCTGACAATACTAAATGGATAACAAATTCAATGAGCATAAGACCCAAGCCTTCAATTAAAGACTTTGACAAAATTAAAAGACAGAAACTGGACATAACAACATATAAGTAACAAAACTTACCTCGGGAGTGATGCTCGCTGGCATGCATTGCGATGAAAAGGAGTTTTCGGCCAGTGTTTGCTGCTCACAGTCGTCGTTCATGGTTGTGACAATGAATGGAACCAGAAGGGAAAGAACGATGAAGGAAGAGAGAGGTACTTCTTCACATACTCCACAACTTTAAAAAGAAAAAATACAGAAAAAGACATTAAAATATAAAGATCTGTATAAGGTCTGCTGATCTTAAACATGTCATTTGTGTTAACCGTATTAAGTATCAAGTATTTCAATTATCCAGACTAAACATGTTTCTTGTTATTTTGGTATGTTGAAGATTTTTCTGGATGCTTTTATCTTTCATAATGCTCAAGAAGATTTATCTGAATAGTAATGACTATCGTTAACGCTTGCTATGATCCATTTGTTATTTTTATTTATGATACTTATGGTTACTAGTTAGCCTTCCTTCTAGTTATTTATTCGAGTGCAGGGAGACATACCAATAATTTTTTTTTTAATATTTCAAAGTCAGGTGTTGGGGTGAGGGGGTATGGAGACAGGGCTAAGTTTTTTAGTTGAACCATAATGTTCTTCTTACCAAATAGGAGTGTTAAATTAAATTTAGATTATTTTTTTTTACAGTTAAAGCTCTAGAGTTATTTTTGCAAGATCTTGGTGACCGCACTTATGAAATAACTCTTCAAGAGGAGCAAAGACCATGAATGCATTAGATTTGTACAAAAAAATGAAGAAACATGCCTTTATGTATTCAGCCCCAAATCTCATCATTCGCTGTAATCGTGGAGAGCGATGACGTTTGGGTTCACGTTCATGAAAAAGGGAACGATGGAGGGAACGCTTTGGGGTCTTCTGTTATGATGAGAAAGAACGATGAAGAAAGGAAATTTTGTGAAAGAGATGAGAGCGTGACCTAGAGAGAGAAAGGGGGTGAGTGATTGAGGGAAAAATTAGGATTATAAAGGGTAAATAGGAGCCATTAGATTAAAAGTTAATCTAATGGTGATAATTTAGTAGTAAAAGTAGTAAACTTAGGAGGTAGTAAGTATAACCCTTTTCAATAAAATAATAAATAAATAAAAACTTGAACCCCATAGATTATCGTAGATTTATTTATGGGTTCTATAATTCTCATTTGATATGAGAATTTAAATTTTCCTACACATCCTTCGATTTCCGTGCTGACATGGGTCTTACATATAATTTTTTCTAACACATGAGTCTCACATGCTTTTTATCTCTACAACATGAGAATTGAATTCTCATTTAACATGAGAAAATTAAACCCCTTTATTTATTGATAGTTAACATCTTCTCACATGAGAGGATAACGTTAAATAACATATTAGATTATCCTTTTAAAAAATATTAAAATCTTATTTTTTCTGAGCCGGGTACACTTTTATCCTCATCGTCGCATCAATTTTAAAAGAAATTTTTTTTAATAATACAAAACGAAAAAAAAAATTAAAGATCTGATACAAACTTTATTATATAAAATTTGCCCTTGCTGACACTAATAATTTACTTTGCATGCCACTGAGGTTAAGGTCTGATTATGCCGACACATATTGTTGAAGATATGATCTTTACTATTCTGCTGATACATACTGCTGAAGATAAAATCTCTTATTTTCAAAGGCTGACAAGATATAATGGCTAGGAAATTTGGTTCTATACTCTATCATGTGTATTATGTCTCTCAATCGTATATAAGGAATCTCCAGAAATTGGGCTACATATATTGTCATCTTCTTTCTCTTCTTGTTCTTTTAACAGCTGGCTTATTTCCTTTTGATAATCCAATATTTTTGCTAACTTCGTTTTTAGTACATCCACTGTCATAA